CTATTTATACTACTTCGACCATAACGGTCTTGCTATAAGATTCTGCCACGTTCAGAACATGCAGAGCAATGCCTCTCTCTTGCTTCCACGCGTCTTCGAATGCTCCAGCGCATATATTTCAAATTTCGAACATCCCGCTTGCATTTGAATTTCAAATGTTTTGGCACTTCTTCGCTTCGAACGCATTCCTTAGATACAACCTTGTTATCATTTCGAGACTTCTTTGGATATATTCTCATAACTGTCACTCGAAGCTCCAAGCTTTGATATGCTCATTCGAAGCACTGCTTCTACCATTTCGAAACATGACGTTTTGTTTCATTTCAATCGAAACGTCCAATTTACTTTGCTTCATAATATCATCAAAATCTTCAGCCAACACCTTCTTCATTTTCATCATCTTTATCAGCACTCTTCTCTTCATGTCCATCATCATTATCTTCAGCAGAATTTTCTTGAACATTTTTATCAGCCAGAGCTTCAATCAATCTTTCAAGTTTAATTTTCCTTGCAACACAGGTACTTATGGTTTCATTCAACCCTTTACAAGTGGCTTTTAACTTTTCTATTATATCAACTTTGGTAGTGGAAATGACTTTTTCCTTCCCATGTGTTTTGACAATGTATGGAACATGTGTACCTTCAAACAATTTATGGTGGAAAGATAGAGGTGAATCTCTTCTACATATATCATCTGCATCAGTTAAATTTCTTGGATGTTTTCTCAAAATGATTCAACAACTACCCAATTAAAATTATTGAGTTATGTTGACAACAAACTCCTTTACCAATTTCTTATAACAATTACCCAACTTGGAAACCGTCTTCACTAATCCAGCTTGATTAATGAGATCAATAACCTCGTTACATTCTAAGGCATCTTTCCCCAATTCCGTTTTCAGAGCAATACACCTCTAGTAGACAAACTTCCATTTCTCCATATTATTTGCAAGATGAAAAGATACATTATCTATAGAAACATCTGGGATATTTGGAAGTCTCTTCCTTATCATAGATTTTCGTTTGGTGTCCTACAAGATATCCTGAACATCAGCATCATCCTCTGAATCACTTGAAGTAACCTCCCCTCTCTTTAGGGCTTCTTCTGTGAGCTTGGGGAATCATAACTTTTCTCCAAATCTTAGTTGGGCCTCACGATAATGCTCTTCTTGGAAACTTTGGAAGGAGTACCAACAGTTTTTCCTTTCATATCACTCAATCTCTTAGAAATTCCAAGAGCTAGCCTTTTCTTAATAGGCTTATCGTCAGAATCACACTAATCAACATTGATAATCTCATTATTTTTATCTTTATCACCTTCTTCCTTTTAACTTATTTCTGTATCTACTTCATGATTTGCTCCAGGCACATTTATCAGTAAGTTTTAAATAACGAACGATAGTTGTAACATAAAGGCATTCGAGTATTTGATACGTATAAGTGTTGCAACTGTGATGGTAGGTGTCGCGGTGGAAGTTAACTACAATTTATTCTTTATCTTAAAATAATGAATAATAGTATTGATATGGACAATTTCTGATACCATTTTGTCGACGTCGTTTTCTGAATAACATGTCATTTTAAAAACTTTGATTATGTGTTTATTCACTATTAGGTTATGTTCTGTTTCTCATTAGGTTCATCCTTGAATTATGTGCAAAAAGTTCATATTTATGTGTTTTGGGATAATCGCACATAAAAATATGATTTCCATTTAAGGTAAGCAACTATTTATACATGTTACTCTACTTTATATTTTTCCTTCTCTATTAATACACTACCACGTTTTAACTATACGACAATGCCATAAAACCGTTGCGAAATATAAAAAAACCATTGTTTATAAGAATGGTTTTTAGACTGTGCCAAACAAGTCGTTGCTTTAACCTTTCGAAACGGTTTTTAACCCAACGACAACGCTTTGTACAAAATCGTTGTCGTTTTCTTTAGAGAACTATTTCCAACATCAAGGATTGCACTCGTTTTCAGAGAAAAACCGTTGCAATTGAGATAATTTGGGGAACAACTGTTTTATGAAATATAAAAAACAGTTTTTAGTCACATTACATTGGAAACGGTTCTAGTAGATGCATCTTCATTTCTTCTTTAAAGGCTATAACAACACTTTATAACCGTTGTAAGAAATGATTGTTTTTTGTAATAAAATGAAAAACTGTTTTATTTTATAAACATGATAATAACATTATTCACAATTTTTTTAATATAATAATATATAAATATATAAATATAAATTTTTACATTTAAAAAAAATTACATATCTAAAGAACTAATGTCAAACATTGATTCACAATCTACAAAAACATCTTCAAATTACACATCTTAATGTCAATCATCATTGATAATAAAAAAAATTTAACCTAAATAAATAAACTTAAACGATCTATTCATTAATATCATCATTCATGACCTACAAAATAAAAGTAATATAATTTAAATAAGATTATTATTAGAAGCTCTAAAATTATAATATAAAACATAAAACAATTAAATCTGACTTAAATCTGACTTGTTCATTAGTTGAAGCACGTGTTGATGCAGATGAACATAGAACATTATTTTGTACATCAAAGCGGCTAGAGCCTCGATATCCAACTCTGAGGTGTTTTGTACATTGGATTTACGAAGAAACTACCATATATGAAAATTTTATAAACAAGACAAAATATTAAAGTAATTAGTTATATTGGTTACAACATAATTAGTAATATCGAAGCAAACATTCTTCATCTTTAACGAAAAATTATCATTCCTATATTGAGTGCGTAGCATAGCTTCATATGTCAGCAAATATGATTAAACAAGTAATGTCATATCTTTTGGGCACATAAGGAGAAGTTTTCTAATTTTTCCATGAAATTTTCATGGGCACCTGTAATATATTCATGATAATCTTATGAATAGTTTAATAATTACACATATGTTGAAGGTACCGTATTTTTCCGAGGAAGATCCATATGGTTAGATTTATCATGCTGAGAGATATTTCTAATTTTTAATTCTCTATGCTAATTACAATATGGATCTTCCATATACTTGATATCAATTTAAAATTAACACATTTAAGAAAATGAAAACATGAGATGTTTTCAGAAAGTAAACGATCCATAACTTTATTTTGCTCTCTAATTGATGAACAAAACTCATAAATAGAAAACCATTTTGACAAACAATATCTTATATCTAGAGGAAATGCTCGATGTATAGTATGAGATATTCTTTCTTTTTTTATATTTTAAATATTAACTATGAGAACGGTGTAAAATAAGAAATATTATATTAAAATAATTAAATATTATATGAAAACGGTTATAACAAGTTGCTAATAATAGACGTTCTCTTTTTAATCTATAAGAACGTTTTTTGCTGTTGTATAAAATTTATAAAAATTATATAAGCTCCCGGATCGATATATTAAATTTGTTGTCTATTACTTTCCACAAGAATAGCATTTTTACCTCTCAAAAATTAGACGTTACCATTGAGTAAAAATGTTAGTGATATTAACTTTTTAAGCAGAGGTTTTACTTTAGCAAGGCATAAGTTAGTCTTCATTTAATATCTTATACCTCTTTCTCCTACTTCTTCAATGAAAATTCTGAGTTCTCTATTCTTTGATTTTAAAATGCATAATGGACCATTTGGTTTTTATGACGTATTCCATGTATATAATGTGATAATTTTCAAGGAAATTGAACTAGATGCTTGTTCACAATGTCAACAATTTATTTGCACTTTGGATATTCTTCCTTTGAGCGCAATAGTATATATATATATATATATATATATATATATATATATATATATATATATATATATATATATATATATATATATATATATATATATATATATATATATATATATATATATATATATATATATATATATATATATATATATATATATATATATATATATTTTTTTTTTTTTTTTGATAAATTTGAGTTAATTTATATAATTTTATTTTTGTATAAAATAAATTTGACTTGAGAGTAAATACGGTTGAAATGATGTTGTACACAATGTAGATATTCAGTCACATCTTAGTTGTACATGTCATTTTAAAATGAAACAACACATTTAAAAACTAAAATTGATAACTTTAATTTTCTCCACTTCTTTCACATTCAAGACCATTTCCTGGACGCATTTGAGCATTGATAAATAGTGTTGGAATAAACACCTTTGTAAGAGAAACACTACTTATCCACCTAAAACTGATAGGTGAGTGAGTTCTCCCACTTATATATGCTTAAGTCTTCATATTCCTATCTAATGTGAGACACTATTTCCCCACTTACTCATACTTACTATATTATTCCAACACTTATCACCGTAACCACTTAAAAATCCTATAACCAACATTAGAGTCTATGTCACAAGTGAAGCCGGCTCAATTAAACACACATAAAGAACAAGAGATACCAATTAGATCCACAATCACCTTTCACTTAGATAAATTTTCTCTAAAAGAGAACATATCTAACAAAAAAATTTAAAGAAAAGATAAGCATTTTAGAAAGGGTCCAGCTTCTCCAAATAAAGGGCTTGAACACACTATCAGAAGTATGTGAGAGTTTGGAAGAGAGAAAATATAATTATTCAACTGAGCATGCTTCCAACTCTACCGACCAAGAATAATATATGGCCTCAAGAATGAAGAAAGGCATTTTCATAGTACTCAATTGTTATGGATGTTATTAATTTCATCAATCAATTTCTCTTATTCAAACATTCAATATATTTATTATTGAGGCAATCTAATACTCTTACATAAATCATCATCATTTTTACTCAAAACTATGTTAAACTACATTAATAAAAAAAAATTCAAACAATAACTTATTTCAAGTTTCAAATTGCAAACATTAAAAATAAAACTAAAAATACTAAATTCTCTCTTTAATCATAACATAGATACTTATGAACTCATCACAAACTTCTTTAAGAAAGAAAATTAGTAAACATCACAAGCCACATCACGGAAGAAACTCAATAAATCCATCAACAAGATCAGGATGGTCTTTAAAAAGTGAAAACACCTGGAAAAAAAAAATCAAATTATAACTAAAATGACTATTGAATAAAATAAACGAATATAAAAAGAATACACTAACATAAACTCATACCATTTGTTGAACCTCTTCACCACTCCTTTTTTTGTTTCTATACATATTCATTATAGCTATAAATGACCGGTAAATGTCAGGATCATCTTGAAATCGAGTCTGCATGCAAAGGACCCCTTAGACTTATCTAAGTAAACACAATCAAATATGAAAATAAAATGAACTTTATATATAAATTGACAAAATTCATACCTTCACCTTGCTTAAATATTTCTTAGCATATTCTATATTTATTTCTGGCTTCTCTGGTGGAAATGTAATCTCAAATTCATTTGGCAAATAGGTATTAAATTTCAGTAACAATTCTCTATGCCCTTCAAACAATTCCTTTACTTTTGCCAGCATGCACACTATGTTACCTCTGCAGGTAAGAGGAACAAATTTATTATTATGAACAAAATAGAAAGAAAAAAGATAAAATAATACTTTATAGATCATCATACCTTTTTTTCTTGATATCTTTCATAGTCTTTAAAAACTCATTGAACTTATTCTTGTCATCTTTAAATGCATCTTTTATTTCTTTGATATAAATCTTGGTGTCATTACTTGTTACATCTTCTTTTGAACTTGATCCCTTCATTTTGTAGTTTGCAAATGCAAGAAATTTTTTATTACATTAATTACTAAGAAGAAAATTAATTTTGAACAAAACGTTGATTCATGAACCCATCAAAATGTATATTCAACTCATAAGGAAAACAACTCAAACATTTTAAATATAAATCATCTCATTCTATCTTCCAAATATTCACAAATATATCTTTTATTAATGATTAGAAAATCCAAAATTTAGGGCAAAAAAAACTTCACCACATATTTTAGATGTTCATGTTTAAGCAATAACAAAATTAAGTTTTAAAAGAAACACAGTCTAATAAATATAATAGAATAAACAACTTATTAATTTGGTCAACAACACTATAAATATTTTAGACCTACCATTTAATAATAGAAAATTAATATATTAACAAAAAGAAGAATATCATCAAAGTATAAAAAGGTAGAAATTTATGGCGCAAAAAAATTTAAATAGGTTACTTCAACTAAAGATACAACAAACACACAAGTCAAAAGAGAAAACTAGAAAAACAATAGAACCACTAAAAGTCCAAAAGATCATACAGATAAAACACACAAACATCTAGAAACCTCACACATAGAACTCATGTTGATCCTAAACTATTAATATCACCATCAACAGATCAGATGGTAATAAAAGAGAACCAAAAACCACGTACCACAACCAATTTTAAAATCAAGACAAACTCTCGATCAGGTATTGATTAATATAGAGGATAGAGTTTTGAAGTCAGTCAGAGAAAGTGCAAGATTTCTTTCGTGATCTATCTAGAAACAATTTACAGACAAAAAAAAAAATATTTTTCTCATCCACTTATTTCACTATTTTTAACACAAATTTAAAAAATACTCAAACAAAAGTCTATAGGCTCTAGGAATAACCACATGCCAACCTAATCAATGTAAGATCATATACTACAATGACAATATTTACTCACAAGTGACAAAGAGATGGAAGACCAATTCAACCATACTGTTACGCAACGGACAAACAATCCCATTAAAATAAACAATCACCCATTTTTTAGTTGGTTTTCCTAAAATGAAGCTTATCTTATATAAGCTGTTAAGAGAGGACTATCACCTTAAAAGAGGCTCGGTTGCATTAGATTATGTTGGTTAAATTTAAATATATGTTTTACACTATTCAATGTAGATTTTGAATTTAACCAACAAAACTCTCCCATAAATTCAAATATTTCTTCGATCCATCATGCCTAATATTTTCTTGCCTCTGTCGAATAGCTCCTTCAACAATGGTTTTGTAAGAATGTTTGCTGCTTGATCTTTGCTTGCAACGTGCTTCTGTTTGATGCTTCCATCCTTCACATGTTCTCGAATAAAATGGAATCGAACATCAATGTGTTTGCTTGTTTCATGGTTGAATGGATTATTCGCTAGTTAGATTGCAGATTTGTTATCGACTTGAATTATTATTGCATCTTCCTGTTTTGACTCCATCCTGCTCAGTAATCTTCTCAATCATATTGCATGGCATACGCAAGATGCTGCCACATACTCTGCTTCACATGTCGAAAGAGTTACTATGGGTAGCTTCTTTGACAGTCAGGTGAATGCAGTATTTCCCATGAAGAACACATATCATGAAGTGCTTTTTCGATCATCTATGTCACCACACTAATCGCTGTCAGAGTAGTCAGTCAACTTGTATTCTTCTACTTTTGAATAAAATATTCCAAGTGACATAGTTCCTTGGACATATCGAAGGATTATCTTCAGAGATTTTCAGTGTGCAAAAACTGGTTCTTCTATGAATTGACTCACAATTCCAATACTCAGCGAAAGAACTGGCCTTGTGCATGTGAGGTATCAAAGACCTTCCACCAAGCTTCAAAATGTGTTTGCTTCGACACGCTCTCCTCCATCAAATTTCAAAAGCTTTGTTCCTGGTTCCATTGGTGTCGAAATTGGATTACAGCTTTCCGTTTTAAATCTTTTCAGGATATCTTTTTCATATTTTTCTTGTGAGGTGAAGATTCCTGTTTCTTCTTGTCGAACCTCCAGACCAAGAAAGTATTTCATCAGGCCTAAGTCAGTCATCTCAAATTCTTGTGTCATTGTGCCTTTGAATTCTTCAATCATCTGATTATTGTTGCCCAAAAAATTAAGTCATCGACATAGAGAGAAACAAGCAATATTTTCTCTTTTTCCTTCTTCACATACAGAGCATGTTCGTAGGGATATTTCTGAAATCCATTTTCATTGAAGTATGTGTCAATTCGTGTATTCCATGCTCGTGGCACTTTATGGGATGACGCAGGCACCACTAGCATGAAATTAACGAATTGACATATACTTCAAAGAAAATGGATTTCAGAAATGTCCCTACGAACATGCCCTGTATGTGAAGAAGGAAAAAGAGAAAATATTGTGTGTTGCTCTCCATGTCGATGACTTAATTTCTTGGGCAACAATAATTAGATGATAGAAGAATTCAAAGGCACAATGACACAAGAATTTGAGATGACTGACTTAGGCCTGATGAAATACATTCTTGTTTTGAGGTTCGACAAGAAGAGACAAGAATCTTCATCTCACAAGAAAAATATGCAAAAGATATCCTGAAAAGATTTAAAATGGAAATATGCAATCCAATTTGTCCCCAATAGAACCAGGAGCAAAGCTTTTGAAATTTGATGGGGGAGAGCGTGTCAAAGCAAACAAACTTCGAAGCTTGGTGGGAATTCTTCGATACCTCACATGCACAAGGCCAGATCTTTCGCTGAGTGTTGGAATTATGAGTTGCTTCATGGAAGAACCAGTTTTTGCACACTGGAAAGCTCTGAAGAGAATCCTTCGATATGTCCAAGGAATTGTGTCACTTGGAATGTTTGATTCAAAAGCAGAAGAATACAAGTTGACTGGCTACTCTGACAGCGATTGGTGTGGTGACATAGATGATCGAAAAAGCACTCCAGGATATGTGTTCTTAATGGGAAACACTACATTCACCTGGCTGTCAAGGAAGCAACCCATAGTAACTCTTTCGACATGTGAAGCAGAGTATGTGGCAACATTTTGGTGTGTATGTCATACAATATGGCTGAGAAGATTGCTGAGCAGGATGGAGTTCAAACAGGAAGATGCAACAATAATTCTAGTCGACAACAAATCTGCAATCGACTAGCGAAGAATTCAGTCAACCATCAAAGAAGCAAACACATTGATGTTTGATTCCATTTTATTCGAGAACATGTGAAGGATGAAAGCCATCGAACTGAAGCATGTTGCAAGCAAGGATCAAGCAGCAGACATTCTAACAAAACCATTATCGAAGGAGCTATTCGACAGAGGCAAGAAAATATTAGGCATGATGGATCGAAGAAATATTTGAATTTATGGGGAAGTTTTGTTGGTTAAATTCAAATCTGCATATGTTAGTGCAAAAGATAGATTCTCTTTGGACAATGAGAAGTTTATTCCTTAAGGACCTAATAATAGTTAATGTTGTAACATTTAATATTCTATCTTGTGATCTATATATAAATTACTTTGTATTCATATTAAAAGTTAGTTGAACATTTTATAAAAGAAAACAAGTTTAAGTCCACTCCCAATTTCTCCTCAGATTAGGGGGAGGCTTGGATTCTCAATTAAATTAGATGACTAATAACAAAAAAAGAGGTCAACATAAGATGATAAGCAAAGACAACAAAGAAAAAACTATCTCCCAAGTGATGCCACTTCCACTTATCTCAGTCTTGAGATAGGATGGAACTATGAAGCACAGAGAGAAGGTCGTGTACCGCTGATAAGTTGTGGCGAAAAAAGGTTCTCCGCCACCTAAGATCCCAAACAAGATTCTTATTCTCCATCCTCTCAAGATCTCACACCAAACCATCTTGTTGATTATAGTTTGAATAAAGACCAATTTTTTTTTAAGGGAGAAATGTCCTACCTCCAAAAAAAAGTTTGGAAGCCCCAACAAATTTTTTTAAGAATACCATTAGCAAACCAATTAGATAGATCATTTTTTCACAGAAGCGACACATCTTTCTGCTAAGAAGGGAAGCTGGTCGAAAACTTATAGATCTTCCTTCCTGAAGAGTGAAAACAATTGAGGCACCATATCTAATTACAAGAATCTCATTACAAAGACCTGAAGCGCCTGTAACTAATCTTCGTCTCTATTTAGCCAAGAGGGATGCTTTTACCAATTAGAGGTCTCTAACTCCTAGCTCTCATTTGTTCTTAGGTTTGCATATATTTTTCCAAACTACTCATTAGAGATTTTAGAATCACCCTTCTCACTTCTTTGGAGGAACCTTATTCGAATTTTAACTAACTTCTTGCAAATCTTAACAAGAATCTTCATAAACAATAGAAAGAAGATAAAGATAAAATTAAGGACTGAATTAAAAAGGACCAATCAACCCCCGAAGTGACATATCTGTGCTCCAAAATTGAGCCTCTTGGTCAACAAATTGATTAAAGTGTGCCGGCAGGTAGTCTTTACTTTGGATTAGCCCCACTAGAAGGCCTGACTACTTAAACGGAGAGATTCAACCCTATAGTAGAGGAGCTCGCCCGTAGATGCAAAAAAAACATGGTCTAGCTTAACTATAACAAGATTGCTCTTTAAAAAATTACCAGACCCGAAGGAAACTCAAACCCACTTAGATCTACCATTAAGAAATCAATACAACACAAAAATATGACTCTATGCTACGTGCAATTGAAGGAACTAAAAATCATGAATATAAGAAAGAAGAATCTAAAGTGAAAAATTACATTACTTCTATGTAAATTAAGATATCGATTAGTTTGAAAGTAAGACATCAAAATTTAGAGACTGATATAAGTATTAATATGGTTGAATCCGAAAAAAAAACTATTAGAAAATGAAACACATAAATTATTAAGATAAAAAATTAGCTTTGTATTACATGTTTTTCTTACGTACCTTGCTCATCATCTTCAAAAGCTCAATGTGAGAACAAAAAGGCTTGGAGTGTTTTTCAATTTGAGTTTTCAAAATGA